CGTTTCAATTTAACATTCAGAAACGTTATTATAACGTTATTTTGATGTTTTTAAACGTTTTTAAAACATTCTTAAAACTGTCTCTTATACACATCTAGATGTGTATAAGAGACAGCTACGCAGTTGGGCGTGGTTTAACGAAGAACGACCAGCCGAATACGGTCTATATTACATTTATATTTTCAACCAGATGAAATTATTTGAACTTCTATAAATAATATACATACAGCAACCAATCAATTAAATCATAGGTCACCTGAAAGTCAGGCATTACAATTTTCTGACATTACACTGGATTATGTGCATTAATTCTAATTGGGTTGAAGATATTGAGAAGCATCCATTAAAGCTTTATTGGGCATAATTCAAGGAAGCATGAAGCGAAGAGTTTGGTGGTATTTTGCAGAATTGCCACTAGAGGACGCCCACGGGACAATTTCCTAAGTCACTTGAAAAGATTCGCAGAAATTAAAGACAACTATGACCTGCTTGAAGCACACTTGGGTAAAAGCCGTGGGAAGACTTAGATTGTCAATGATAGTTGTGATAGGTAGAAAAATTTATTAATTTTTTAAACATGTATTTCATTAATTTACTAAAAAAGTGAAAAGAACTGAAATTGATAGGAAAGATCACAGATGCTGTAATACTGACTGTACTAGTGTTGGTATTTCCCCCAGATGAATAGGAGATGCCTGTCAACTCAAGTGTACAAAGACAACTTTCATAGGCAAGATGGAAGCTGCCACTGTGCTGGCTGAACAAAGTCCAACCAATTGCCTCTACCCCATCACAGTGGCTGACCAGCTGGCATTAGACTACCTATAGTATCAGAGTTGTCACCTGGTTTTCACTGGCTAAATCCAAGGGGCCTCAGACCTTAGGTGGCCTTTGGATATCAATCGGTGTTTTTTGCACAAATAGGCCCAGCGAGGTAGCTTGACATCAAAAAACCACATTTAAGATATCCAAAATGCCAAAGCAAAATGGAAATTCGCCCATAACACACGGAGGCCTTATGAGGAAAACCAGCCCCAGTGGTAGTGGAACCCTAAGAAGTATGTTACTACTAAGGAAGCAAAACTGTTACAGGAAGACTGTTCAGTTATATCAATCTGTATAATGTTATTATGTAATATTATCATTTTGTTCTATACACTAATGCATCATTAAGTACAGATGTCAATCGAGGGTGAAACCATTTTCACTTCACTACAGACAACACCATTTCTTGTACCTGTCTCCAAAATCACTGGTACTCCCGTCACTAGTCAATGAGTGCAATAATATGTGAGCTGTCGTGACAAAATGAGTCTTGTAGTACGAAAATTGAAAAATGAGTTACCGATTTTAGATAGATGAATATATAAGCTTTATTTTGGTTTTTAAATCATGTTCCTAGGTTGAGGAATTACAAAATATTCCTTTAAAACATGATTACCTTAGGTAACTTAACTCAATTCGGACATTTTTACTACTATGAAATATACATATTAAACTTATCAGAAAAATTGAAACCCAATTTTTGTCAAAATATCACTTCAGATATTTTTTAGAATATATCAAACTGACCTAGCTTACCACAAGACTCATTTTAAAAAATGCGAAAAAGCGAAATTTCTCTATTATACTTTTTAAAATTAATACTTACATAAATAAATGTGAGAGAGGCACCAACAGACTTGTAACATAAGTTATTATTATATTTACTTTTCGAAGATTCTAATAATGGAGCATCATCGAATTACCTGATATCGTTGTACACAGCTGTTGTTCTATGTGTCTTCATTCTGGTGATGACTCCAGTATTTGTCTTCCTCTGCAGGTAGTATTTGTTAATTCGTGTTAATTTTTTTTTTTGTATTCATAATTAACTAAAAATATTGCTCTCTCTGCTTGACGTTCTCTCTTATAAAAAGCTAATATAAACTTATATTGGCTTATGAATGTTTTAACACGCCTTTTTTTTCTTTCTTTAAAAACATAGGTTTTATCAAAAGAATAGGAAAATAAAACATACTACAGACATGAATTTGACTGCTTGCGAAGTAAAAAATGAATCAGTGTACGAGAACTACAAGACAGTCAGTGGCATCGGTAAAGATTATTCAGCGTCACCTACAGAAATATATATGAATATTCATTTAACTGGAGTAGATGAAGACGACACGTACATGACATTAAAGTGGGCTAAGTAGACCCAACGTACTGACGTAGTATGTATGTACAGAGGAAAATGATATAGCATACAGCTAAAGAAAATTTATACTTATAGTCAAAATCTAAGTGCGTGGTTGTCTGGGTTGTTTTGGTCGGAGAGATAAATTTTCTCGGTGAATTGATTCTCGGACGAGAAAACGAAATAAAAATAAGTTAAATTTTTGTTTACATGTTAATTATGTAGTGTCGAAAGAAAATAAGATGCTCGGGTTGATGTGGAGGAATTGTAGATTTATGAACAATCGTGGGGCATTAACTTCACTTTATCTTTCAATCGTGCGGCCCCACCTGGAATATTGTTCAGTTATTTTTAGTTCAATTTCTGTTACACAGACTCAGCGTATTTCTAATGTTCAGAATAAGTTTATTTGATTTCTTAGTCACACTTGTCCCAATTATAATGTCTCACTTGTTTCTCTTGAAAACCGTGGAATTGTTTTTGACATGGTATTTTTGTATAAGTCTTTGAATTCTGATTTTGATTGTCCTCTTGCTTCTTTGTTTAATCTAAATGTTCTTACTCGTACTCGCAGTAAGTTTTTGCTCCACGTTCCATGCGGTCGTGTTGATTGCACAAAACGGGGCATTTTTTTTTAGGTTACCCATGGACCAGGTCCATGGGTTACCCAATGAATTTAATAGTCTGCTTGTTACTTGTGATTTTGACCTCTTTTATGATAGTTTAAATGTTTTTAAAAGAAAAAAATGTTAAATCTTTGTAAGTGTTTTTTCCCAACTTTTCACTTTATTGGTTACATATATTTTATTACGTTTTGATTTAACCTGTTATAGGCGGTTTTTATCGCTGTTGTTTTCGAACTAAATAACATAAAAATAAAAATAAAGCTCTCTAATGAACAAAGCTAAAGCATGCCCGATTTAAAATTTTTAATAAAACCAATTTCTTCTAATTTTAAATACATTTTCCCCGGAATTCCGTGATAATTCGTTGTCACACATAGACTTGTGCAGATTGCGTGACAAATTTATGATCACGCATGAGTTTCCGCAAAATGCGTGCTTTATCCAAAATATGAAATAAGACCGTCCCGCACGAGGCGAGACGGTTGGTAACTATGTGTTGTGCCGGCGTCCAACCGAAGATACTACTACAGAATACACTTCTTCTAATTGCTTTATAAGCAAAAAAAAAAAAAAACGGTGATAAAAAAATAATAAAATTGAATAAATTGAAAGCATAAACATTATGTTTGTGTCAGTCTGTTCTGTTATCTATTCTCAGTGTTTAACTGTACGTTAAGCCTCTACTTTCTATGCAAAAGTATCTGCATAAATTTCACATAATTTTATAACTACAACATAGTAGGCCTATATGCTAACCACTATGGCCAGCAAAGAACACTAAACATTAACTTCTAATACTTGAGCATGGGAATGCATCCCCTCCATCATAGGCCCAGCCCAGTTCTTTCCTCATGCAAAACGATTATCAAGTGCCTTAAGGTCAGATGCCGACAACTAAAGAGAAATAATAAAATGCCTTTTAATTATTATAGTGTTTGTTCATCAATATTTAAAAAATTAAAACTCCAATATCTGTAACAGTATTTGTTAAAAAATTATAAAATTAAACAAATAATAGTAATACTTATTTTGATACCATGAACTCGTTTTAGCCCCCTGTGTAGTTACCATCCTACCATGAAGGAAATATATTAAGAATAGAATAGGCCAGGCTTTAATATAAAGAAAACATATTGCCGACCGACTGATCCTGAATTTCAATCTGTGCTTGAACAAGACAACATTCCTTTGGCCCTACATTTAAACATTTAACAAATGTATTACTTAACGCACACCCCCGCCCTAGTCGGCATACATGCAGACCATTCAACACATACTGCCCCACCATGACAAAAGGAAGCAACTGTTGTTTGCATTGCATTGAGTAATTAAGGAATATGGAGCATGTTGATTTTGTCCCCTGCTTCCTTTTCTGGTGGTTTTTACTGTATTTTTAGTCTCTTACTTCCTTTTTGTGTTCCTAATTACTTGTTAATTAGTGGGATTTGAGCATACTCAAATATATCAATATGTTCCAAATTATTTGTTCGTTGATAGCGACTAAAAAACTTGTTTTTTGAAAAATTGTCAGTTACTTCCTTTTGTAATGGTGGTGCATCATAAGCCTCAGTGGCCCAGAATTTACCCGAAGGTGGCCGACTGTCTTCGACCCATTCATCGATATCACCAGATATTATGTATATTTATATAATGTATTTTTTTTTTTTTTTACTAAATTACGACTTCTACCGCAATCCATCCACCACGCGATCGCTGTTTCAAGTGGTTGATGCCTCATGGCAACCTCTTTAGAAATGTTCTGGGCCAATCTGTCAGGCCTGGGGGGTACCCTCCCTCCTGGTATTTCTCAGATCAAATCGAACTGCCAAAGGACATTGAAAAGTCATGTTTTCTTATTCTTCTTATATTTTATTGGCAAAAAAAAAACAACAAAAAACAAAAAAAATAAATAAATAAAAACCATAAACAAACACCATTACAATCAAATCAGGAAGCAGACAGGAACCTAAAAGTGAACTACATAATTGTAACAAAAGTTACAATTCCTTTAATACTCCAAAAGTAAAATAACAATATATATATAAATACAGTATAGATGTTAATAAACTCCTACTGTACAAGATTATCATATTAAAAACTGTAAAATCCAAGCAATTAGACTAAACGTAAAAAAGAATTGGGGATGAAAAAAAAAGAGAGGACGTCCATCCGATACGCAGTGCAATGCAACTAAGCTGAAGAGCTATAATATAAGACATGCGATTTAAGAGAGCGCAGAAATATTGGAAAGGAACCCATCATAAGGGATTTTTTATTTTTTTTTATTTCTGGTGTTTTTTTATATTTTCTGGGAAAATTATTATTAATAGGGCTGATTTTTATTATAATGTGCTCAGAAGCTTATTATTGTAAGTTATATTGTCATTTTTATTTTGTTTTACTAAGTTCTAATTTGTTCATTTACAGAATGATTCAACTTCAATTAAAATATTTCTCGAAGGCATGCAAATCATATCTTTTAATTTTGTTATTATAGCACGCATTTACATGACAAGAAAAACCTAAAACTAGTTTAAAATAATTTTAAAGAATGCTGAATGTATATATTTTTAGTTTTAAAACAATTTCGTTTAAAGCTTCATTTAGCGAAAATATAATACATTTCCAATGTTTCAAGTGTTTTTTGATATTTCAAAAACACTTTGGGCATTACAAATGTTTACCATTACGTATTGCACATTTACAATTTTTAATATTTACTTATCAAGATTCTGTAAGCTTTGTTCCTTTAAACATTCAGCACATAGTTGAAATTATATCATTTTATATTTATCGGCCTCGCCAGTAAATGAAAATAGGCCTACGGTATACAGAGTTGTTGTTCTTCTGAATTATTAAACCTAAATTTATATTTATTCTAATTATCAATAATTTCGATTATCTTGAATATGATGACAGTGTTTTAATATTACAATCACATATAGGCTTAGGTATATCTACAGCTAACAAAACTAAGATAGTTTCCCTACCGTTTTAGAACTACGAGCAGTTGATAATCAGCAGTTATAGGGTTATGATAATGATACTCATGGAGGAATATGTTTTATTACTTTACTATGTTACAATCAACAGCATGGTCATTCATATCTGGCTATGATTTACAGCCAAGTAACTTGTCAATGTAAAACAAATGAGTCTGTGATAGACAGAACAAATTTAATAAATACGCAATGTTAAGTAAATATTAAACAGAATAATATTATCTCTCAAAAGGAGGAACGCAAATAACTTAAATTGATTGCTCAAACAAAATCATAGGAACAAATTCATATGCAAATCCACGTAATTGCCTTTACCTCATTAGACAAACGTTATTGTCTTGAACAGATATTTCGTAACTATAATGGATCTTAACTAAAAGTAGGCCTATACCACTTTTTTGAACAATCAGGCATCTGAAGTACTGTTTTCCAAAAATGGCAGTTAACTGGACATAAATGTTACCGATTTCATCAATAATAATACTAGAATATAGGCATTTAGTTATCATTGAGTGTTAGCATACAAATAATATTATTTAAGCACAGGGAGGCCGATCAGAAACTTGGATGCACAATAGCAGTTATTGAGTTCCTCCTCTAATCTGTCCCATAAATTTGCTAACCAAATGAACATTATGACAACTGGAATATTTAGGAAATTATTCTATATAAGGTATGCGCTATACGCATGTGCTTATTTTTATACTTAGGTCTACTTTCTTTTTGTACCACCGATTTTATCAATGGCAAAGTGTGTCGACTTTCAGAGTCAACGTAAAATTCATACAGACAAAGAGAGAAGGAACTCAAAGGGGACTCGTTGATTGTTAACTTTCATCGTTCTTGAGCAATATTTCTAGTTAAAGTCGGCGTACAGGAAAAGGTCGGCATGGAAATATTAGTTCTTAAAAATATAACCATTGTTGGAAAGGTCGAGAAGAAAGTGTCTTGGCCTAGCGAAAACAGCAAATACTATTTAGAAATAGGTCGTGCGCCGAGGGCACCAGTACCAAGACTGATGACATCACTCCTTAAACTGATTGCATCACGTACCAAAATATTCCCATGACCTAATCAGCGACCCATAATTTCCAAACGCTATCAAACATTTCCAGCGGTGGCAGTTGATTGACTCTTGGAAATATTACATTTTCAGTAGATCGAGATAAATTACAATAAATTGTTTGTCAAGTTTGAGAAAAGATCGCCAATTTGTTGATTGAAGACAAATTCTACTGACTTACAATCCCCGATTGGTGAACATACTTCCATTTTAATATGAGAGATTAAGGTCTTCGTTTTTGGGCCTTTGGATTCTTTATGCCTTGGTTTATAAATACCACACTATCTGTATTAAACGAAACCTGCCTTTACTAAACACAAACCTCTTGGTTTGTTTGAAATCTAATAGAAGATCCCTCAGTTTTCCATAATTGAATTATAAAATAACCTTGATATTACATTTTCGCAGAATATTTAACATTCTCAAAATAAGCGACATTAGATTGTGGTATTTTTTGTTGAATTCTCCAGTTAGATCTTTGTTATATTACTCATGAGTATCATAGAGACTCCAATTATGCACCATTCTTATGGGCATCAATATCTTTACCTTTTTTTTTTATGGTTATCCTTAAGAATGAGATCATGGAATTACAGTACATCGGTGTAATTTTTAGTATTTACCGCAATCAAGTTTGTATATTTTTTATTCTGGACCTATTAATAGGTCCATGACATTAAAGATTAATGTAGGCCCTACTGAACAAAGTATCAAACAATACTTTTAAATAGTATGTAAGCAACAAATGCAAGATAAACATAGTTTTCCAAATAGTTAAATAAAATTCTACTTCCTTGATTATGCGCGTATTTTGAAACTTTTATATGCTCCAGTCTTAACACAAAAGTTATAAATAGTTCAATAGCTGTTTAGCTCAAATCAGCTAAAAACAGTTCCTTGTTTGATAAAACATTTTCCGAGCTTTGGCAAATGTACTGTATTATAACCTTATGACAGACGTGTGCAAACGACATTGATTACTGCATGATTACAGTGATGTATTTAATAGGGCTGATTTTTATTATGTGCTCAGAAGCTTATTATTGTAAGTTATATTATCATTTTTATTTTGTTTTACTAAGTTCTAATTTGTTCATTTACAGAATGATTCAACTTCAATTAAAATATTTCTCGAAGGCATGGGAAGCTGTGTATTCCTCCTGTTGTGCGAATATCCTTCTTGTTGTATTTATCCTCATTTCCAGTCAATTGAATAAAACAGTGGACTTATTATCCACATGGTTCAGCTAAGTAGTTTATTTAATTCCTTTTCATAGGGAAATGAGGGGAAAGTGTTTAAATTGGCAACTTTGTCAATAATAATAATAATAATAATAATAATAATAATAATAATAATAATAATAATGATAATAAAATAATAATAATAATAATCATAATCATAAAAATAATCATAATAATAATATTTATTTATTTCCTTTCAACAACAAAAAAATAAAACAATAAAACAATTTAAAAATAATTAATGCCCTGTCATTAAAATAAGGGTGAAGACAAATATTAATACTTTTAGATACTGAAGTGTATAAAGCAACCTCGCCCGGGTCGACAATAGCTCAATCGACTGGGTTATCATCAATATTGCTGACATTAGATGGTAAGTTTTTTTTTCTTAATTATAATTAAACATTTGTAGACCTAAAGATTACTGAGAAATGTCTTGGTTTCCATACACTAGAAGTAGACACCATTATGTGCTTTTACCTAAACATTTCGCAGAACATTCGTGGATGAAAACCACCGAAAATTGTTTCCCCCAAGTTAAGTGGAAGTACCCAAAATCTCTTTATAAGAGCTGTCTAGTAAGAAAATCTAAATTCTCTTTTCATGATGCGCAGTAACACCATAGCCTAACCAATGTGTGATTGTTCTTTAAGAATTGACAAGTAAGAGTTTGAAACCAATCACACTTTAGTTATTATGGTTTACAGACAATTTACTACACCAGTGACAACGACAAGAACATGAAAAAAATATTACGATTTCAAATAAATTAGAAGTGTTTAATGGGAATTATAATGGTATTTAGCATAAATTTCGTATTAGTAACATATTATTAATGCAATTATCATATCCATACGTACCAAAAACAATAGGCCACGTCATTCAATATTTTAATCTTGCATTTTGCAAGTTTAAAACAAATCAGACTTACTAAACTTTAGTTATCATGGTAACTAGCAATAAATTTCCTGATTAATGAAAAATTAATTATGCAAATGAGCAATTACTACATTCACTCACCTACTAAAAACAAATGGCTCCGTCTTCTTGTTACCATCTTCTATTTTGTCCAGTGTGAAACCAATTGGATTTTAGTTATCGTAGAATACTATCGTAAATTGCTTGATTAAAATATTAATTATGCAAATGAGTAATTACCATATTTAAAAATATACTATTTATCATCTGTTGAATTTCAATACTAATGTTTATGTAGAGATGTTTCTTTTTTTAAGCTAAAAGTTAATGTGAGTTTTTTTTAGATTAATGCTACTTTTTTTTGTTTGAAAATTCATAAAGGACAAAACATTGGTGACGACAGAAGGGGTTTTCTTTCATTCATTGATTATCATTATAAATAACAACAATATAGAAACGCAAACTAATATATACAGTAGTTATAAACACATAACTTTATTTACTTTTTTAAAGAACTTGATACAACAGCACCATCAACAACTCAACTATCAACTTTGTCCTCAATAACATCGGTAACGACGGGTAAGATGCTTTTAATAATAGATTATCGTTTTAAACAACACAACAGAATGCAGAAACACAACTAAAACAAATAATAGTAACAGTATTTGTTTTCATAGAACCTAAAAAAACAGCGCCATCATTATCAACATCTGCTCAATCCACAACTTTTTCATCAACGACATTGGTGACGACAGAAGGTAAGTTTCTTGTATTTTTTTTAATTTCATATGGCAAAGCCACCTTTATTTTCTACAAAACACAAAGAAAGTCACAAATATTAAAAAGAAAAGCAAATTAAACAAACAATACAATAAACAACATTGAATCAAAATGTCTTCAATCATCTTTTAGAAAAAGAAATATATGCAGTTATCTAGTTCATTTTATTTCTCCATTTCATAGTGTTTTTTTTTTATTTCACGTTTCAAAGCATGGATGCATGGCATGGTTTCTTCCAATTTGCTCCGGTATATGTGTAAACGGCAGAGGGTTCAGACGGTGTTGGTTGCCTTCATTCGAAGGTTTAATCGAATAATCATAATTTTTTATCCTGTAAAAGCAATATAATTTGGCTATTTTTAACACAGCAGCATTTTATTTATATTCTAAAGAACCTACAGCAGCGCTAACATCAACATCATTAACTACTCAATCAACAACTGTGTCGTTATCAACGACATTAGAGACGACACGTGGTAAGTTTACATTGATTACCATTAGAAATAAATAACAAAATAACATAAACGTAAACTAAAACACCTGTAATAAAAACACAACCTTTTGTTTTTAAAGAAGCCACAACAGCAGCGCCATCATCAACAGCCCCGTCAACAACTATGTCAGCAACAACACTGATGACGACAGAAGGTGAGGTGCTTTAATTGATTATATGGCAAAATAATAGTACCATATGTATTTATGAACAGCGCTACCAACAACTCAATCAACGACCAACTTGGTCATCAACTACGGTGACGGTAGAGGGTGTAGTTATTTATTGATTACCATTATCATTGATAAAACCGCAGGTATAAATGCAAACTGATAATTATATGCCTACACACATAGCCCTATATTATGATTAAATTGTCTGAAGAAACAGTTCCATCAAGAAAATCACAACCATCAAATATGCCCTTTCAGCTGCTTATATAATTATATTTTATTTCGTAATTAATACAAGAATAAAGCAAATATTACAATCAAAATAATAAAACTCTTGACGGTGGATGGATACTGATGCTGTTACTGTTGTAGTAGCCGTCTTCTTCGGAATACACATGACCACCATTGGCTGGTTTCGTTGACAGAATCGCTGATGGTGTTTACCTTGAGATCAAAATATTTACCGTTATGCTTCACAGGCGAACATCAAATTTAATTACTGTATTATCTGGAACAATTAAGCTCCGGTAGTTAACTGGCTTCTTTAACCCAGCTACAAAATCGTTTTTTCCATACTTAATCCCGAAACCTTTCCTTCATAATTATTTTTACTATTTTAAACAGGTCTAAGGCAGAACACGTTGTTACTTTATTGTTTTATTCTTGTAAAATATGTTGTTAAATATATCAATTAAAAAAGTATTTTCCGCCGAAAAAATAAGCATAGAAAATGAATGGTTAGGCATACACGTTGAGAAAGATTGCGGAGCTAGAAAAACAAAATATACGTGATACTGTACTGCAGCCATTGAATTCTGTATATTTATTTATTATCTCTACTGTTGTCTTCCTAACTATATTAGTTAGTTTTGGTAACACTGTCAAACCCCGATGGCGTGCCTTATGTTGATATATTGGTTACTTATGCAAGACATTTCTATGTATGTGTATGTGCATATGCATATGTATGTGTATATATGTATATATATAGGCCTATGTATATGTATGTCTGTGTACATATATATATATATATATATATAAATCATCAAAGAAATGTAAGCAATACCAAAGATACTAGAAATACACAGATCTCTTTAATTTTAGTTAAATATTTACATATTAAAATTAAACATATTTATTGTAGCTGATTATGATTACAATGTTTTGTTTTTCTTTGAATGTAGGCCTACCGTTAGGTATTTTTAATGTTTGCCACTGTTAAAAAAGTGTTATTCAATAAATATGGTAAATAATTAGACATATAATTGCTGTCTCTTATACACATCTTACTTGTATAGCGTAACATCTATTTAAACATTTATAAGGGTGGGTGAGTGGTTTAAAAAGAAAAATGTCGGTATTTGTGTTTGTTTAATTCAGTAAATTATTTTGAGACGATAATAATTTTTCAGCGGATTGTTCAAGACTTTTTTGAAAATATAAAAATGAAACATTCAAAGGCGGCCCAATGCGCCAGGACAGGAGGTGAAGCTAAACAAGTATATTTTTTATTTGGCCTAATCTGCAAAGTGATAAACTGATACGTATTATATTTCCGTCTTGAATCTCTAGGAAAAAATCGCAATAAAAATGTCTATATTATTTTTATAATTTAACTTTTAATAAATAATGTGCGAGATATTCCTGCCTGCCCCAATGTTAAGTGACATCTACAGACATTTCACATCAGTTATAAATATATATTTATTCTTTGAAGGTTATAATAATGGAGCATCATTAAGTTACCTGATAGCATTGTACACATCTGTTATTCTCTGTGTCTTCATTTTGGCGATGGCTCCAGTATTTGTCTTCTTATGCAGGTAGTATTTGTGTGTGTGTTTTTTTTTTCATAATTCATAATTACTAAAATCATTGGTCTCGTATAGTAGTTAAACTGTTGTGATCTGGTTGTATATTTAATATACTGGTCTGCATAATCCATACCAGGATTATATAACCCTTGCATATTCCATTCTACAAAGATTGTCACCGGGCCTAAATATAATTATGATGACAGTAAAATAATGGAGTTGTAAGCCTACTCTTGCTGCTCGACTTTCTCTCTTCATTTAAAAAGCTAAATATGCCTATAAATTCATATTGACTTATAAATGTTTTAACAAGATTTTTTTTTGTAAAAATTTAGGTTTTATCAAAAAAACAGGAAAATAGAAAATAATGCGGACATGAAACTGACTTCTTATGAGGTAGGCCTACAAAATGAACCAGTGTACGAAAACTACCGGTCAGGCAGTGGCATCGTTAACGATTATGTGACGTCACCTACAGAATTATATATGAATATTCATTTAACTAGAATAGATGAAGACCACACGTACATGTCAGTAGGTTAGGTAGACCCAGCATCTGGCCTGATCAAGAGTATATATGTACAAACAGGGATAATATTAGTAGGCCCTATGCACAGTTGAGGGTCTGAATATACTTTGTATAGTCAAGATCTGAACCAACTTGCTATTGCTTTTTGTTGAAATGCAAGTCAAAATCAGTGGGTCAATTTTGGCCTGGAAAGCTACATTCTAAAGCTTCCTTTTCTAAAACTCCACCCAATTCTCTTGAACATTAGAATAGCCCCGGAAAGTGACAGAAATGTAGCTCTATATATTTAAAAGAATGACAATCTTATATTGACAAAAAAAAACAAAAAAAAAAAACAAAAAAAAAAAACATCTAGTTCCAATAATGCAATATAATTATTTAATGTTTTTTTTTTTTTTTTATGATCAACACATTATATTGAAATGTTTACTTACACGACGTAGAGTCGTGTAAGTTAACGTTTCACTATAAATTAATTTATATTTTTTCCTTAATCTTGCAATAATATAATTATGATTACAATATTGTTAATTAACCTTAGTAGTTAATGTGCAGTTTGAGTAATACCATTGTATCAGAGCCACTGGACATTGATTGAATTATGTTTCACTATATTTTTTATATAATTTTTGGATCAAAAAGAAAATAACAATATATTATAGTGTTATAAATTATACTTATAAAGATGAAGAATAAAATAAGGAATCGTATGATGTAGTTAATAATGACAAATAGTTCCTTGGTTTGAGCAATACCAAAGATACTAGAAATACACAGATCTCTTTAATTTTAGTTAAATATTTACATATTAAAATTAAACATATTTATTGTAGCTGATTATGATTACAATGTTTTGTTTTTCTTTGAATGTAGGCCTACCGTTAGGTATTTTTAATGTTTGCCACTGTTAAAAAAGTGTTATTCAATAAATATGGTAAATAATTAGACATATAATTGTATATATTGAGATACTGAGAAACACTTTTTTATTGAGTGGTTTTCCCACAGATAAGCCGTTAGGGTAGGAGATACCATGTTAACTGTGTTGTGTAGATCTAAGAAAAATATTGTGATTTAATAATGAATTTAATAAATAGACGTGTGTATATGGCCTATAACTGTTGTCAGTTGACAAGCACAAACAGTACTCCCATTATCTTCTGTTTTTTGGCTTTCTCAATAACTTGAATTATCCGTGGTCCAATTTGCCTCATTATAAAGTACACCCATTCCTGATGATGGCATAATTATTGTCGAAATATTGAATCCCAACACGATGGCGTGTATTTCAATACTTGGAGTATGTATTATGCTTTCTTACCCATTATTTAATGGACTGTTTAAACTGTTAAAGAACAAAGGATATAGTTTGGAAGTAATATCAGTGGATTGTATCACTTGGGTGAAAAATAATATCGTAATGAATTACAGTTATTACAGTACAGTATGTAACTTCGATCTTGCTGCGTATTTTGTCAGTAGCCTATTTTGAGGTATTCATATTTGTAGGCCTATTTCATAATACTGTACATAGCATGATTGCATCGTGAATACATAACGCATGTTTAATTTAATCGCATAATTGTTAAATATTAAACAATATCTTGCACGTTATGTATGTTTAGCATATACCAAAAGGAAGCACTGCTATTCTTGGTACTGTATTATAATGATGTATTCGTGTTCCTTGTACTTTATTTATTCATGTACGAATAAGCAACTTAATGTAGAATGCGGCACTGATAAAAAATAAATTTGTAACAGTTAATCGTTTATCAATGGACCTACATTTGTTCATTTTACAATATCTTGTACGTTGTGTAAATGTGTGTGTAGCCAGACCAAAAACAGACACTGTTATTTATTGTATTATAATGTATTCGTGTTCCTTGTACTTCACGTTATAATAATAATATTTTATTATTATTATTATTATTATTATTATTATTATTATTTATTATTATTATTTTATTATAAATATTATCTTACAATACTTTGAATAGGTGTGTAAAAATAGTTTTTAAAATAATAGGAATTAACTAATACCATTTCTTTTATCACTTTCCTCGTCCTTAGTTTATAAATTATATTTTTAGGAAAGTCCGACGATAGTTTTTATTTTAGTAGAGAGAACTGACCCATCAACTTGGCCGGCCTGCCGCGCGTGTTAATAAGAAGATGGGGACTATGAAAAGATGCTTCAATATTACAAGTACCTCCAAAATAAAGACTGTAACTTTGAGGGTACATTGACATTAGTCAATGTTACATGCTGGCCTGAATATAACATCAGGTCTAGCCTGTGACTTTTTTTTTTTTTTTTTTTTTTTTTTTGTTATGCTCGTGCTTGGCCGGAGAATTTAATTTCAAAAATGATTTTATGATTTTATTATTATTATTATTATTATTTAATATTATTATTATTATTTTGCATGGGACAATACATCTTTAAGTGGAGGACCTCTGGACCCTTGTAATACCAACCACATTCAACAACATTGTGCCCAACTCCACTCACAAAACGGGATCGCCATAATGTTAGTAGTCTATTATGGTATGTCTTTATCACCCCAAGGTAGATCTCTCCTTGGAAGTGTAACTTAATTGTCTGTCTACCATGAATATATCAAGGATTAACAAAAAATGTATGTGTTCAGTAAAAGGCCTACCATAAGCAAACACAGCACTTACTTGTTATTATTTTATTTACAATTCACGTAATAGTATAACTCACAGAGAGTGACAAATAATAATGTTCCAAGCTGAACTTTCCTCCATGAAATGTATTTAAAATTGTACGGACAGTATGTTCATTAACGTGTAGTCAAGGAGGCCCAATGGAATAGCATTAATTGTATCCTGTGTTTTATTTATTGCATCTTAGTTATACTTCACAGCTGAGCACCTCCACACCGTGTAAATACAATTACAATATGTTATAGTCATTTTTGTTTTATATATTATAGGCCTACACGTATTCGTGTTTCTTGCACTTTTGGAGGAATAAACAACTTAATTCATCTTTATGGCAATGATAAGAAATTAATTTTTTAACAACATTATTTTCCACAGCTTTATCGGCTGTTATTTCCAGGCATCCCAGAGGCGCCATTTTTAACATATACTCTATATCCATGCTAACATTTGTGGCTGCCCTTTGAGGAAAAAGAATGGCGGCTCTAGGTTGTCAGTATTTATTTCTGGACATTCAATTTCTTCTATATAAACTATATTACCGTGAGTTTTCAGTAACACATTCACTGGGTAGGCAATCTTATTTTTTTAAATGCCCAGCCGAATTTCAGTATAAAAAACGTTTTTCAAATGAAATTCACGTAAAATCAATTAATAAATATTGTTAGTCCAATCAAAATCACCTTAACCATGGTATAAGCTACTACCTAACGAAACTCAAACCATAGGTCGTTTATATATTGGAAAGATCATGATATCTTGATGTTGCGGAAAAAAGCAACGTTTATAAACAGTTTTAGACACTTGTCACCGTCGATTGTTTACCTCGAGAAGTGACGTCACTAGGCTAGGCTGGAATAACGTTCAGAGTGTATTATTCAATAGTAGACGTCTCAGAATGCAGTGAAGTTTATTTTTAAGCATCTCCTACCCCAGTCTCATTCAGCGACTGAACAGCAACAAACGGTCTTCCTCTTACGAGACCACCTACCCTGAGACCCTATCTGTGGGTGAATTTTTATGCATTATAAACAGCACTCCTAAAATGTATGTATCAGCCTTCATAGTCTTATTAAATACCAGCAGAAAATGAGATCCATTGGTTTAACAATTATGTTAGCATACGTAGCATCATCAGCGCGGTGTCCATCTGAGTGGCGGCTCTACCAGTCTAACTGCTACAGACATTATCCTGAGAAAATGAAATTTAACAAAAGTTCAAAGTTTTGTCAGCAGCAGGTATTTTACTCTGAAGAAAATAGGTAAGCGTAACAGTATTCCTATTTCATTTTGTTCAATGTTTCATCGAACACAGGTCTACAGTATAATGTTACCGACCTTTCCGTTGCACTGGCGTAACGGACGGGTTTATTATATTTCTTCATTGCAAACATACGTAGGCCAACATACATTGCAATGGGAGCTACGAAGCACACTCCTCTAATTAAGCTTGGCCCCTCTTTATTAACTACATAAATTCATCCTCACCCCAGAACCTAATAATCAATACAATGTGATAAATAAAATAATAAAATAAACTATTAGTACAGCAATTATGTGGAAAAATAGTGCACTTGTAATAAAAGCATGAAACGTGGCACACATGTATTATGAACCACAGCGAATATTTTCAGGTTATCGGCCAGAAATGGAAACTTTTTATTTTTAACCATATTCAATATAAAAATTATTTTAAATCAACCTCAGTTCCTAATTTATATTTAATATTACTCACAATAATAATATAAGTAATAATGACGAATAGCATAGGTCTATAAAATTACAATTTAAATGCGTTCTAGTGGTCAAAAATAACAATTATTTTTTTCCCTTTAAATAATCATATTCTAGTTTTGATTGACTTTTGAATGGTATATAATTTGTTAGGTAAATCATCCTGCTATAATCCATAAGGAAAAAATGAAATCAACTTAATAGAAACAAAACTGAGAGATATTTTGACTAAACCATGTGTTCAGAGTACATATGATTGCACATAATATAGTGAAACGCTACTCTGCTGATTAGAACTGCAACAAATGTTTTAAAATGTATCAAAACTGTAACAAGTAATTGACAGGCAACATAAAGATTAAAGCCTGGTTTTCATGAAAACCCCAGTATCCGGATCAGGAGCTAACCGTTAGCACGTGTTCCAGTTTCTTATTGGCCAATGATTCGATCATCATATTCTTGATTTCCGGATTGGGATTTTCTCGTATGGACGCTCAGCATCTAACGGTTAGCAGGATCCGGATCCTGCTAACCGTTAGCTGCCGTGTGAGTTAGCCTAAGTTGAGACTTACTATTGTACTTCTATGATAGGTCATGTAGTAACTTCATTTTACATAATTATACCTTTTATGATTAGCATTATAATGCAAGGCCTTTTTCTCTTAACAGCAAGTAAATATGGATTTTACATAGCCTATTATTTAGAGGCGTAGGGCTACTGTAATAAAATAAATAAAATATTTTAATATTTGTCTCAGATATTATAATTTGCACTACAATATTTTTTCCCTCGGTAAATCAAGCTGAGCCACAAATAGGTACAGTTGTATGCATTAAATAATAATACAATAGAACCCCTCTATAAGGACACTTGTATTAGCCTACATGTACTGAGAATGAGAGGAAAGATATATGTTACCAATATTGACAGCCCCTGTTAAAAGGACACTTTCTAAATGTGCAAACTGGTGAAAGCAACTACAACTACAGTAGTCTTAAAATAAGGAAAAAATCATTCATGCGACTAATCGGTTGATAATTTTAAAATAAGATAAGTGTTTATGTTTTTGTATGAAGATACTGTATAAATGCTATTTATTTCAAAATAACATATGTCTGTTTCTTTACACTTAATGGGCCAGCACCAAGAAAACAAACAGTAAACTGGTATCTATACATAGCCCAGATGAAAATGATTTTGTATACTCTATCATACCGACTGACGTCACCGTCGTTAGAATTGGACTAACCGAGGTAAAGATTAAAGAAAAACCAACATGGCGTTGGACTGATCTGTCACCATTTGACTACAGCAATTGGGCCCCTGGAGAACCGAGCAAAGAATCAGGAAAATATGGCACAATGTCGAATTCTCAATATCCAAAGAAATGGAATGCAGCTACTGATCAGCAGAAACTGACTTTTGTCTGCAAAGTGCCTGCTGATGATAGTAAGAGTAAGTGAATGGTTTGGTCCTATCCTACAAAATAGAATATATGGCGTATATAAGTATTCAAAATCAATAGTGATAAATATATATATATATATATATATATATATATAAATTTCCTTGATGAAAATGGAATACCAGCATCCACAACCAAAATCCTCAAAGAAAAAAAGAAGCAGACAAATAATCTGGTACAACCCACAATTCAGCAAATGAGTGAAAACCAACATCGGAAAATCATTCCTTAACCTGGCCAAAAAGCATTTGCCGAGTGGCAACATTTTACATAAGCTCTTTAACAAGAACAATGTCAAAGTCAGCTATAGCTGCTCAAGAAACATGGGCAGTATAATCAAAGGCCACGACAAACAGCTTCTGGTTGCTAAGCAACAACAGCCAAAAACTCTCTGCAATTGCAGGAAAAAAGATGAATGTCCACTCTCTGGAAATTGCCTCACCTCATCCATCATCTTCAAAGCCACTGTCCACTCCAATGATGACAAAAAATGCTACATCGGGCTAACTGACACACCGTCCAAAACCCGATACACAAACCACAAATACACTTTTAACACCCCCAAACACAGAAACAGCACCGTACTCTCCAAATACGTATGGAAATTAGAAGATAGCAACACACCCTACAACATTAAATGGTCTATCATCGACAGAGTATCGGCTTACTCCCCAAAAACAAAACGTTGCAACCTGTGCATAACCGAGAAACTTCACATAATATATTCAGACAAACAGTCAATACTAAACAAAAGAACCGAGCTACTGTCTAAATGCAGGCACAGCAACAAATACCTACTTAAAAAACATTAACGCATTTGCATTTTCACCTGTCTTAGCACTCATATACTCGCACAACCCTTGTATTCTCTCACTCCTGAAGATTGCATT